AAGGATGTCACTTGATCAACTACACTCAGTTTAACTTTCTCGGGCTTCCCCAAGAGCTCGGGTGGGCCGTGGGTGTTTTGCTAGATTCAGTGAAGATGTGGTAGCTTTCGGCTGAACCGCCCAGGACTGGGTAGATAAAGCTTCTTCGCCTCTCCAAACTCCCCCGCGAGAATTCGATCCATTTAAAGTCGGCTTTGCCAGATGGAGGGTTCAGCGTGTCCTTGGGCCAGAACCTCTTAGTCAGCACTTTGCACTCATTGGTTCCAACCTAGGCTCCACGCAGAACTTCGGTGCAGTTAAAAGTCGCCTGTTCCTAGCCACTTAGGGTCTCAAAAATAAAACCAACCAAAAACTTCAATAGGAAAAGGTTTTACCTGACACTGCTAGCCGCTTTTGAGAAATCATAAATACTTCCAAAAGCACGGTTTTAAAGGGAGGGTGCAAATTTCTATCCTCGCTTGATCGAACGACTTACTCGCGGCGATGAACTGCGCATTTGCGCATTCTCTAGACGAAAGTGAGGTTTGCGGCTTGGCTGCTGCCGGGAGCGTGGAATTCTACCTCGGCTGCGAACCGAGCAGCAGACCGCACATGAACGCTGCCTCCCGGGCTGCCGTCTGCCAGTAAAGAATACCTACCCAGAACGCTGATGACAGAAACAGCTCCCAGAACTCAGAAACCCAGGATAGGAAACGAAGCGTGCATAAGATTGCTTTTTTTTTTTTTTTTTGCGCTAATTTACCCAGATTGTTTTAACCGATTAATGAAGCAACTGACACTCAACAAAACAGCCTGCGCAGCAGGAGCCCTCCCCTCGGCAATAAAATGAGAATCCTAAAGGTTTGTTAACAACTGCCTTTTATTATCATTGCATAGTATCATTTTTTTCAAAAAAGGTAAAAAGATAATCATTCATATCCAATGGTACATAAAGGAGATCCTTTCTGTTTTTCTCTGAAATAAGAGTGTCCATTCTCTTGACGCATCGTCAGTAAGCCACCAACAACTGGAAGAGAGGCAAATTAGCTCTGAACACCCGCACCCACTCTGAGTGGAATATAAATGGTTAATCTTGATTCCCTTTAAACACGTACAATTTTATCTGACCCTAGGATGTGATTTAAGATGCTGATGGTTTATACAATCTCATTTTACACAATTAGACGACACAAAAAATAAAGAGGAAGTGAGATACATACTCGTATGTTCCACACGTAAACATAAAATATGTCCACATTTCATTTTGACCGCCAAATACCATGTTTGTGGCTATCAGAAAATATAAGTCCTTCCCTTATATTTTTTCCATCTAAGTACCTTATTCACAGAAATTGGCATCCATCCCAATTGTTTTATTCTGACTCTCTCAAACCGGATTCTGATACCGGCTAAGCAGAGCATCACCTCCCTAGGTATCAGTGCCCAAATATATCTATAATCCAGGGAAAGTTGATAAAAGCTCGCTTTCCGCATCTTCTTTAGTTGGGAAAAAGTGTTCCTTATTGTTCAACATTTCTTTTAAAAAAGTTAAAATTCACGTATCTTCCAGAGCTTACTAGGGAATAATAAAACCTAAATATGTAATGCTACTTCTCAGTTGCAATGAAAACCTCTTTAGATTTTTGAAAAAATAGCTTGAGAACATGTTGTTAAGGAATCTATCTGGCATTAAGTTTGATGTGAACTGTTTAAATTTTAATTAAAGCACAGAAAGAAAGCAATAACACTCAAAGACACAGACATAAGAGCCCACCAAAAGTTTTAGGTTTAAAAGCTGTATTTTCGAACATGTTTGCTAATGCACATGGGTAGATGACACCAAAGCCAATAGAAATGAAATCTTAGCATCAATTTTATATTCAGACACCATACACTGATGTAGCCTGAAAGTAACAGGGATTAAACTTAGTTAACTACGTATATTCTTTGCATTTTATCATCAGTAGAGGAACTCATTCACACAACTGCTGTTTTGAAGTATATAATTTTGACCCAACAATATGCAAAGGTCAAAACGAGTCCATATTTGACCATAGAGGGTCTTATTCCCCCCTCTGAACACAAGAGGTCGCTCCTGTGATCAAGCACTGGTAGGAAATACTAATCACAGTTTGATGTAGTCTATAAAAACATTACAAATTTTTAAGATATATTTGATGCATTAAAATGCACACATAGCAATCAGTTATGGAAACCGGGCAAAAATGTGTGATCACTTTGAACTTGAAGGGGAAGAGAAACAATGCCTGCTATCCTGACTTTGATTGTAATGCAAAATGTATTTGCAACACACAAAATACAGAGCACATCCATTATGGAAAAAAAAAAATTGGGGGTTCCCTCAAATTTCTCCCTTTTATCAGGGGGAATACTCTGTATGATATTTACCTCTATCAACTTAAGAACCTATTAAGAAAATATTTGTGTAAGGTTACAGAGTGAGCTGAAAAAAGGAAAACACCTTGTCTTTTCTTCATTACCATTACGATGAAATTGCTCACTACTAAACATTTTCCCCAAAGTCACATGCCAGCTTCTCTATTTGAAATTGCTATCATCATTGTCAATAATTCTTTGAACTAGCTTATTAGTTTAAGGACTTAAATACCACATTGTGTATTTGACTGGTATGAAGGAGGATGGATAGTGAGGGTGCTTTGTGGATCTCAAATGTAAGTCATCAGGCTTCTGGCAGCTTCCATTGTTTAACTAGATGTTTTAAAGGTGGCATAATGGAATATGATTGGTTAAAATCCTCTATTAACTTTCTGGAGTTATAGTGTTGTGTTGTTTTTTTTTTTTTTAAACTGGCGTCAACTTGGTTATCTATACTGGAAGCATACTCCTATAGTAGGAAAACTTGCTTCGTATTATTATTAGCAGCATCATTACTGCAAAAGTGGCCTTTAAAAAAAAAAAAGCTACCATGCATACAATACCAGAGACTAGACACTTTGACTATTGTAAAAGCAAAAAACGAAAAAAATCTGGTAAATGTATAACCTATGTCTACCCAACTTTCGATTTCACATGCGCACTCTTGATAGAGCTTACAATTTAAAAATAGAAGGGAGAGATCCAATTAGAAATCTTCCTTGAGAGAAAACAAAAGAAAACAAATACGTGTTCCTGGTAAAGGCCCAGCTAGGTCAGGAGGAAACTCAATGCATCTTGCATCTCTTAACTCTCTGGAGGAGTATATCCACGCAAACCGAGCCACTGGGGCCGGCTTGGTGGCTCACAGCTCTGATCGAGGGTTAGATGTGGAGAAAGATACAAAGAAAGGAGTTTCCTAACACTGGGTTTTCTCGCGGCAACAAGACACCCAAAATAAGCCTCCTACACTTGGGTTTGTGGGTCTCTTTAGATAAAACTGGCAGCCACAATAGATAAGGTCTGGCTAGTTAGAAGCTTTGGACGCAATGTGGGCTTCTTCCTGTGTTTGGGGGTAATCTGTAAAGATGATGGGAACTTGTACGACATTATTGAAAAACGGTTACCAGCAAGTTGCAGTCAACATTCTTCTCTCTCCAGATTGTTTCTCAAGAGAAAATGATCAGATAAACACTCCGGGGGACGTGAAACATACATTTTACTGTCCCGCTGTAGTATTAGACTGCGCCCCACTACTCTCGCCCTTAGACTAACGCATTTTAAAAAATCTCTAGAGACATTGAGACTTGTTATAATTATCCAAACACCACTAGCTAAATTACCTACGTCTGCTTAAAAACAGAGTGGAGTAGCTTAGCAGAACGAAGAAACTGGAGAGGAGATCATCACTTTGCAAACTTGGAAGCTACCAGAAGATCATTGCACTCTGGCTTCGGGTTAGTGCGCTGCCTCCAACTCCCCACTGCCAAACAGACCAGTGGATCGGAAAGAGCAGCTCTCAGAGCCCACTTCGTTTTCACCTGTGCGCTTCCAAACTGACTTTGCGCTCAGACAAGAAGCGCCCTGCCCTCCCACCCCAGCTTTTGGAGAGCTCTGGGGTGGGGTGGGGTGGGGGTAGGAAGGTAGGTAACGGGTTAGTGAAGTCGCAGCAGCGAACACTTCTGGGCCGACTCTTCCCGATCCCGGTTCTGTCCCCCCGGGGCAGCTCGCAGAGCGCGGTGCGCAGCCCGTCCAGGGAACTCACCCTCCCCGGCAGGCGAGTCGCGCCGGGCCCGGACCTGAGCCCCGGCGCAAAACAAGCCACACGGCCTGTTCCAAGTCTCCCCTTCTCTCGCACCCGGGGGTGAGGGGGGGAACCTCGTCAACAGGAAGACCTACCCACCAGCCACTCGCCACCGGCGACAGAAAAGTGACCCCGCGAGCAACACGGCCAGCCGGACCGCGGGGGGCGCAGGGCGCAGGGCGCAGGAGCGGCGCGACGGGCGGCGAGGGCGCAGACGGCGCGGCCGGGAAGGAGCGAGGGGTGGGGGGGGCGGATGGCGGCGCGGCGCAGAGGAGAGGGCCGCCCGGGCGTCGGGGAGCCCCAGCCGGAGCCCGGAGCGAGTCGCCTCGGGAGCCCTAATCCTCTCCCGCCGGCTCGCCGAGCGGTCAGTGGCGCGCGGCGACAGCGAGGCTGAAATATGATAATCAGAACAGCTGCGCCGCGCGCCCCGCAGCCAATGGGCGCGGCGCTCGCCTGACGTCCCCGCGCGCTGCGTCAGACCAATGGCGATGGAGCTGAGTTGGAGCAGAGAAGTTTGAGTAAGAGATAAGGAAGAGAGGTGCCCGAGCCGCGCCGAGTCTGCCGCCGCCGCTGCGCCTCCGCTCCGCCAACTCCGCCGGCTTAAATTGGACTCCCCGCTCCGCGAGGGCGCGGCGCAGCCGGGCAGCGGCTCTCCAAGCCTTGGCAGCCCCAGGGGCCACTGTTTCCCACTTAACCCCAGCTCCAGCATCCTCTCTGTGGGCTGGTCACCAACTGTACAACCACCATTTCACTGTGGACATTACTCCCTCTCACAGATATGGGAGACATGGGAGATCCACCAAAAAGTAAGAGGCTCTTTTACCTTGTCGGGCTCGTGTGCTGGTCTGGTGCGGGGGTCGCTCTCAGGCACGGGTGTCAAGGCTCCTCCCGAGTTGGAGTCGTGGCCTGGAGAGAGAAAAAGTGGCTTTTTCTTGTGGCCGCCACGCCTGCATGCTTGCTGTCGGTTCCGATCTTCGGGAAACTGAGCGTTACCTTGGGTTTGAATTCGCCTGTGGACCCCGCCAGAGCCCCAGCCTGCTGGTGGGGAGCGGTGGTTTTGCTCCTCGGGAAGCCGGAGCTCCCCGAGAAGGTTATTCTGTGGCTAAGGTCTGCCTGCACATACAATGCCCGGAGATGGGAATTAGCATTAGACTTGCAAAAAAAGAGCGAGTGACAACTGTATTGATGTCTGCTCTTGCTAACAATATCCAGTCCTATGCGCTATTTAAGAGCGTGCTTCCTGGAAAATACAGACATCCCCGCGTTCACTTAACGCTTCTAGTCAAAACCTTTTCTTTGACTTGACTTATCCATAATCTTTCCCAATGATTATGGCAAAGAGGGAGGGGAAGGAAAATAGAACTACAAAATGAACGGGTTTGATTGCGTGCGAGGCTTACAAATGCAGACTATTCAGATCTGCATTTTACATATGTTCCACCTCCTTTTTTTAAATGAGTCAAGGTTTTGATGGCACACTTCAATTACCATCCCAAAGTGCAATACTCTTTTTAAAAAAGAAAGGGAAAAAAAAAAAATCCTGGAGTACGCCCTATAAGAGAACGACACTAAAAGTGTGTTTATCTCTGTAGGAAGTAAACGGTTAGTCAATCATGTATTTATTTTCATTTCAGAAAAACGTCTGATTTCCCTATGTGTTGGTTGCGGCAATCAAATTCACGATCAGTATATACTGAGGGTTTCGCCGGATTTGGAATGGCATGCGGCATGTTTGAAATGTGCGGAGTGTAATCAGTATTTGGACGAGAGCTGTACGTGCTTTGTTAGAGATGGGAAAACCTACTGTAAGAGAGATTATATCAGGTACGCCATTTACACTGCTTCCTTAATTTTGTGAGAATTCCTGTCCCGTTCCCCCTCCACACACACACACACACACACACACTCATTCGAAAAGAGCATTGTCTCTTTTCGAAGTTTGCCTTGGTGGGGTGCAGCGTGCAAAAGTTACCCTGTAAGTGTGTTACATAAATTAAACTATGCTGTTCATTTCACCTCCTAGGAAAGAAAACACTAAAAGTCAATAGTGGTTTTCATAAATTGTGTGCTGTTGAAGCTTGTTTTAATTGCTATTGGAATTTGTGATGCTTAAATTGTTTTCCTCTTTTCACCCTCCTTTCAAAACAAAAAATTAAAGATGGATAAGTTAGGGTTTCTAAACTTTTTTTAAAAGCTTGGTTTTTGTTGTATCAGGCAGTGTTTTTCTTTTTTTTAAAAAATAAAAACAAAAGTTTGACTTTAGCATGTTTAGATGTACATATTGAAAGAGCTAGTGGAGGTATTAGCACTTTTACTTTGGGGGTAAGATTTCCTTTCTGGAAAATTTCAGAGCCATCCTAAATATTCCCTGCAAAAAGACCGGAAATTTAATCTTTTTAAATATTAACCCTTTGGTGACATCTGACTGTCTTTTCTTTCTTATCTTATCTGTGCTGATGAATTAGACAGAGCAGATCAAATTGCCCATCATCTGTCTACGAACAATTGGTATATTTAGATAATTGAACAGCTTCCTTTCTCACATTAAAATCTGGTAACTGATAAAATGAGCGAATTGTCCACACTGACAAGACTAAAAGCATGTAAGGAACTTTTTGTTTTTTCCCTTCAATTTGTTCTGTCTAAATTTCAAGCTTTGTTAATCTCAAATTTTCTCTGACCCGTGTATCTATGTCAGAAACTTAATTTTCTGTTTAGAAAGTGAGTAGAAATTCTAGAGAAAATTATTTTAATAACAGACTGAAGAGATAACATCTCTATTATGTTCAATATTAAAATGTTATTCAAATTTTTTTCTCCAGTACTTATTACCACCAATGAGCTTTGTTAATTTTAGAGTTTATGAAGCTGGGAATGTGCATTCAAGTTTAGTTAAATTTAAGTGTGTAATCACAGTTCTCGCTCATTTAACTTACAGCATTTTTTTTCTTATTTCAAAATTGTAAGGTCTAATCTTGATAGACCGGGGTCAGATGAATTTTATTAATACTTTTGGAAGAGGGAGAAGGGTGGGAGGAAATAGGGCAAGTGGGAAACAGGAGGAAGGGGGAGGGATTTTCTAAATTGTTTGGTCACAGGCAAGGTAAAGTCCTCATCCTATGAAATGAAAGATCTCACACAGAGTAGGCGGAGGGAAGAAAAACTTTTGAATCTACCTTCTAACCTCTGACAAATGAGCCGCTTTCATTGTTTACTTGATTGGTGTGTGAACTCAAAGATTCTGGAGAGGGAAATCCCACTTCGCACCTCCAGCAGTATCTTTACTCCTATGGAGAGGGTGTTTTGCTCAGTTGCCTTCAGACCTTGTGCCTAGATACACGTTTGTAGAAGGAGCCAATGGCTTTTACCTTTTACTCTCTGCACTCTCAACTCGTGTGTGTGTGTGTGTGTGTGTGTGTGTGTGTGTCTTTGAAATCCTGTTGTAAAAGCAGAACAGAGAGACCATTTAGATTTCTAAATGCCTTGCTTCCCTTGGGGGAGAAAGGTTTCTGCAACCCCCTTTTTGTGTGGCTCTTTTCCTGGCTTCTAGTCTCTCAGTTTGTAGGAATGCCCTTGCTACTGTTATTCCCGATACTTGGAGAGTATGCCTGGGCAGGTCCCCCTAGATGGAACCTGCAAGGATTGTCCCTTGGTGAGGAAAGGTCAGCATTTAGAAAAGCCTTAGACATGGGCTTTTCATTTTTCCAGCTGGCCATGGCTCTCAAGCAAATGGAGATAGAGGTAGAATTTTCACTTGAAAAAGATGGAGGGTGCAGAAATGGGTACTTTAGAGCATAATAAAAGGGAATAGAGAGGAAGAAACTTTATGCTAAGGTTATTGCCTAAGAAAAATATGTTTACTTGGAAAAAACTGCAGTGGGCTTGTTCAGAAAGGGAGCTGGAAACCCTCAGAGGTTTCGTTTTGTTATTCTGCTTGTGCATTTGTGTGTTTGCGAACTGAGTGGAGTGACAATCTCATTGACCAACCCCTTTTTCTCCTGGAAGGAGGACTTTTTGTCGCAACTTAAGAGACATTTCTAGTTGTGGAAAATGGGGGACGAAGAGGTAAAAGTGTGGGGCCAGTGGCTATTGGAGTCCCGTGGAAACCTTTCTGCCAAGAGTTGAAAGGGCCAAGCCAGGACTGGCTGGTTGCTAGAACAGCGGCTCAAGTTCTGAATACATCAAAAATTTGTCCTTGATGTTCTGCGCTAAGAGGTACCTACAGAGACACAAAGGTTCATAGCAAGGGTAAAAAGGAGGAAGAGGGAGAAAAGAAGAAATCTAACCATTTCCGTCCCCCATCCCCAGCTTGTCTGCTAATACAGATTTCAGTGTCTCAGGGCTTTGTGGCCGGGGTCGCTGGCGACTTGGGGCCTGGGCAGCGCCCCCCTGAAGTGACCCCCCTCTCCCTGTGCTTCTCTCCTGGCTGGGGCCTGGCCCTGTGCAGGTTGTACGGGATCAAATGCGCCAAGTGCAGCATCGGCTTCAGCAAGAACGACTTCGTGATGCGCGCCCGCTCCAAGGTGTACCACATCGAGTGTTTCCGCTGCGTGGCCTGCAGCCGCCAGCTCATTCCGGGGGACGAATTCGCGCTGCGGGAGGACGGGCTCTTCTGCCGCGCGGACCACGACGTAGTGGAGAGGGCCAGTCTGGGCGCCGGTGACCCGCTCAGCCCTCTGCACCCGGCACGGCCGCTGCAAATGGCAGGTACTCCTTGGCCTCGAGAGAGGCCCGGCTTGGGCGACAGATGCTGGGCTGGGCCGGCGCCGCGGCTCCTGCCTACGTGCGGGAGGCCACTGCAGCCCTTGCAGCCACCGGTTGGGCAGTTGGGCAGTCCCTGAGGCAGCGACAGGCAGTTAAATGAAAGTCTTCGGGAGTGAGTTTGCCCTGTGCTTCACTCTTGCAGGGAGGTTCAGTGCACTGTCCCCCCTGACGCCCCAGCGCACCTACACTTCCGTGTCTATAGGTGGGTACACACACGTTAATGTACACCACTTATGCATACAGGTATACACACGCCCAAACAGCACTTCCAGTTCACCTTGGCCTCCAAGCCATGACTTACTGAAAAAGGGCTTCAGCTCCCCACCAGGTAGTCTCCTGCTGCTGCCTAATTAAAGGGGTGGAGCTCTGGGCCCAGGAGTTTCCTCCTTTAACCCAATGAAGGACGTTTAGGTGGCCTCAAGTCATTTAACCTCCCAAATTTCTTGTTCTTTGTGAACTGCCCCACACCCCAAAACATTTTTTAAATTTATTTTTACCCTTTTGTGGGAGAATGGACCTGAAAAGATACAGTCTTAATAACTGCAGGCCATTGCACAGAGCTGTAATTTAAAACTGTCAACAAGCTAATCTGCAGTAATTGCCTTTTAAAGGGAGCCTGCCTCTTTAAACCATTCATTCTACCTGATTTGGTGAGAATTTCATCTTTGGGCCTGCAGGCTATAACACTAAATTGACCCCATAGGTGTTGACCTAACTAGGGGGTCCTGGAAGGTGCTAGAGTTGTATCAAATTGAACTGAGGGCCTTTTCCCCAGGAAGGAAAGTAGAAACAGAGCAAGCTGGCCAGGAGGGAGGTCATGGGTAAGAAGGCAGACAGTGTTTACAAATCTGCCTTCCTCTTATGAATAGATCTGCCCCCTTGCATTTTAGTATTCATTTGCACTAAACACTGGCCTTAAGGAAATTACTGCTCACCACCCCTCTGCTTTTTGGCAGATTTAAGAATTCTGTTCAGAGAAATTTTGTGACTAGCTTGCAAGGGGATGAGGCCTGAGGTAGCAAATTCTGTTCCTGGAACCCTATGCTCTCTCTGCTTGTGGGAAAACACAGGAGGCTGAAATATTTGGGAGGGAGGGAGGAGACAGAAGGCATCTCAGCTGTCAGTTTATCTAGAGCTTAGGCAGTTCAACAGAGGTTTGGTTTTCCTTTGCTTAGGATGGTGAACGTATCTCGGAATCTTCAGGTAGATTTAGTGCTAAGAAAGGGTTGGAGAGGTGGCTGAAATAACCGAGTTGCTCTAGCCCACTGACATGACTGTTCTGGAGACCAAAGTTCATGACTTTCTGGTAGAATTTTTGGGTTTTCTT